TGAATAATACAGGAATCACAGTGGTCGCTGAGAAACCACAAGAGCTACTTAGGAAAGTACTCACTGGATGCATCTAAGTCCTGCCACCCAAGTAGCAATCTCGGGATCTTTTGGCTCTTTACTCTTGAAATTCTTTGTCTGTGTCTTCTGTTTGCTGCTGTGTACCCACAGCCGCTCATATCACAGTTAATGGTCTAAGTGTGGACATAGGAGTCATGAGCGGCTTGGAGGGATATGCTAGCTACCTATAATTCTAAAAATTATGCAGAGTAGTATGAGACACATTTTGAGAAGACAGACCAAATCCAGCTGTGGGTCTCTGCTTGGCTGCTTCACTGATGATGCTCTCATGCAAAGCCCTCCACGAGCTCAGCTTTGATCTGCTTTCAGGCCTGCCAGAGCACTCTAGTCCTCAAGTCTCTCAATTACTTTGAAAGGCACCAAATCTAGCTTTGATGGTGTACACGGAGAATGGTAGAAAATTCAGGCGATTTGGGGAAAGCTAAGTGAACAAAAATGAAGCTACTTTTTAGAGAAAACAACCTCTAGCAGATTTTTATGGCCGTAATGATAGGAATGAACCAGACTGGAGACCAAATGAAGGCTGTCATTGAGACCTGCCATCTGTCTGAAGTAAAGGTGGGAGACCCTGTTGGATGCTTCCTGAGGAAGGCACTTTCCTTGCATCAGTTCCTTCCCTCTGTCCTTGTCCTTGTTTGGGTTTGGACTCTTCGGTTAATTCTCAGGAGCACAAGAAATGATCTTGACTGTGACCTTAGCACCAGCATGAATTTCACTTTGGTTTCAAAACTGAAGTTCTTGAAAGTTATGTCTTCAGAGTTTTCCTTGCAGGACTCCGGGGGATTGGAAGCTGAGACAAGCACTGGTCCCTTGATCACATAGCAGCGTTCTTTGGGGAAAAGCTAGAACACAACACTCTAAGTGCTAACTCCAGGAAACGTTAGGGCTCAGCAAAGCCCAGGTGTGGAAATGCTATCCTGGGGCTTTGCAGTCCCCTCACTGCATCAGGACTTTCCCTGTGTTCTTTCCTGTCTCTTCTGCTCCCAGAAAAATCAAATGGACTTTAATCCAGTGCTGCGCTTTATGTCTTCTGTCTTCTCAGGCTCTTTTTCTAGTCTATCCATAGCATGAAAAAACTCAACGGAAAAAAAAATGCACTGAGTTTTCCTTGAAGGTAAAATATAATACATGAACATGGATTCCAGAGACAGTAGTTATTTAGGGGGTCTGCACTCTGGACAGTGTTTTCATTTGTTAGCCGTCCTGACTCCATCTATGTGCCCATGTATTGTTGTACTTTGCTGTGCATTTCTGCCATTTTTGTTGTTGTTGTTGTTGTTGTTGTCAAGGTATGAAGAGGGTAAAGAAGAAACAATGGAGAGGAATGAGAGGTTTTGTTTTCTCTAGCCAAGGTGATGATTTTGTCCTTTTCTGGTATTCTACCTTCCAGAGGTTTGAGAGTCTTTTCCATGACACTCTCAAACCCCTGACCAGCAGAATGTCCTATTGGTTCTTACAGATTTATACTTTGACTGAAGAATTGTGTGAGTTTGAACTGGACTCGAATAAACTGAAATGGAAGTGTCCAAGTTAATCATAAAATGAGGGAACCAATAGTGGAGAAAGTGTTGTCACCCTCCAGATCTGCTTCCTGGAGAATCTCTGTACATAGTAGTTCAGGAGGATCCCCATTATGGATGGGAAGGCTGAGTGAGGCAAGATTAAGTGATTCAGTTACTTAGACTAAGCCATCAGTTAGTGGAGGAGGCTGGTTCCAGAACCCATACACACTTTCCATAGCACAAGCACTCTGAGGGAGTAAAGGGTACGCAGAGGTGGGAGCTGCCAACCTTCTGGCTTGAGCAGGCCGTCTTCTGTGGGCAGACTCCTGAAAATGAAGGAGGCCTGAGTGTGCACATAGTACAGCACCACCACCACCCATGGAGAAGCCCAGATGCACAGGCAGTCCAGCAGGTTCAGGTGAGTGAAATGATCACACTATGAGTGGTTGATTACATTATATGAAGCTACAATATCTTACAACATTTTCCCTCTTCCATTTCTTCCCTCCAACCCCTCTCCTTTACCCTCCTTGCTCTCCCTCAAATTCATGGTCTCTTTTTCTTTCATTGCTGATGCATGCTTCTTTCCTCTTCCCCTAAATATATAAATACAACCTGCTCGGTCTCTCTAATGTTACTTGCATGTATATGTTTTGAGGCTGACCGCTTGGTATCGGATACTCAACTGGGGAGCTCTTCCTTAGGGAAGACTATTTCTTCTCAGTCAGCATTCCTTAGGTGGCTATAGTTCTTGGTCTAGGGTTGCAGAGAACGTATTGTGGGCCCAGCCCCAACTGATACATCTACAACACAACTGCTGTACCTCAGGCTCTGGAAACATTTGTGGAAGATAGGACACAAGATTGTAACAGTCAGGGGAACAGGAAGTCTGCTGTGAGATTGGATTGCTAGAAACACAGACCCCCTTGAAGAGCAAATGAAAAGTTACAGGTCAGAGTTTAATGTAACAGTATTCAGTTGATCTTTTCCTTGTCACTTACTTTACATGATAATCACATGTTCAAAGTATGTGCTGAGGACTTAGATTCTGAGACACCAGAGAATTGGGTGACACAGGACCCTCTGTCATCTGCAAGAAGGAAGTTGTGTCCTGTGTCCTGAACCTCAGAAATCAGTGGTCAATGAAATGGGGGGGGGGGGGGGCGCAGAAGGGCCAAGAGCCTTGTTATTGCTTCAAAAAAATACCTTGACCCATCTGGAAAAGCCCTGGGAACACTGGGTGATTGTGTGTTACAGAGATAATAAAAGACTCCACTGCAAATAGATGGATGTTTGATTTCCTCTGCTATCCTGAGCTGAAAACAAAAGAAAATGACTGAATATGATAACAAAACTGATACTGAGAGCAGTTCGAAGTACCAAAAAAGCCCAGTTTGGAAAGAAGACTTTAAACAATAAACCTATTAGTTAGTCATCAATGTAAGAAGCAGCTAGCTACATCCCATCGCCCCTATGTATGTCCACTTTGTCAAGCTAGAGATTTTCTTTCTTCTCCTAATCAATCCATCAAATGAGTTTTGAATGAGCACCTACCTGGTGGCTATAATTTATGCAAAGAGTGAGACTGTTAACTGTTTAACCCACCTAAAATCTTATATGTAGTTCTTCATTAATACTCTCGTTTGTATGTAGTCCTGCAGGACAGAGGGTAGGGATTGCCATTTGGCCCTTGGCAGTCAGCTCTGTAGTGAAATGGGGCTATGGGGTCCAGTCTTTGTACAAAATACCAGATCATTATCGGGTTCAAGAAATGCAGGGATTCTGAGCCAAAAGGCTTTAGCAAACCACCAGAACGGGTTGAGTTCCTTTTCCTTTGCAGTGATTTCCGTAAAAGGAGACATTCCACGGTGGGGTAGGAAGCGTTTCCTTTGTTGTCCTTTCTTTTCTAATAATCTGGTGCTGAGTAAAAATACATGGAAGGAGATCTAGTGAAGCTCCAGTAGCAGCTCAGACCCGTATGTCTTGAAAAAGATGGCAGAGGTCACCTTTCAAACATGCAGGTGATGCGTACCTTTAGGACTCACATCCCTCCCATCTCCCCACCCCCTCCATCCCTGCTTCAATGATTGCTATACACCTTTATCATTGGCTCTGTATATTTAGTTTCTTTATTGTTCTTTTTGCACAATATATTCTTGAGATGCTGTGTACCTTTAGAACAACCTCAAGGCTAGATTTGTGGGTACACCCTTGAACAGTAAACAGCACCCACTACCATCACCACCCAAATATCCTTGCTTGGATGGCAAATTTTAAACAGCCTTGGTTTTATCTGCTTTTCTGTTCCTCTCTGCCTGAATCCTGGCCACCTCATTTCAATAACTAATTGAAACCTTTCTAACTTTCTCAACACTCCGTGGGGAAATTCCATTTGAAATTTCTTTTCCCTGTCATTTCCACTACGCAGTTGAAAGAAGGAAGATAGGAAATAGGCGCTCTCCACCCCTCCCAACTCCCCCCCCCCCGTGTGTGTGTGTGTGTGTGTGTGTGTGTGTGTGTGTGTGTGTGTGCTCTTCTCTCCTTTTCAAATGACGTAGGGAGTTTGGACAACCTCCCTACCCCCACCTCTCCTTTTTGATGCTAACTCTGATTCCCATTCCCGGAGAATGAGTTTCGCTTTGAAGGCTTGGGTAACCTCAGAGGGACAGAACAGCAGGGCCCGCCTGAGGGGCCATCTCCAAGCCTACCCTAATATCTAATGAGCCCTGGCTGCCCACGTCCCAGGAAGCCACTGAGGTCCCTTAAGGCCGGTTACACAGCCTAGTTCTGCTGAAGTGTGATAGCATCTGACAGAGGTTTCCAGGAGTCCGGTGGTGCGCCCAGCTCTGTGGGCCCGCTCCACCCCGCCCGGGGCTGGGTTCGCTGGGGGACAACTTACTGTGTTCTTGGAGGTATCTACAGTGCAAACTTCAAGTGTAGGTGGAGGCAGGGGGGCAAGAAGGCTATGTACCCTGTAGAGTAGGAGCTACAAAAGAAAAAGAAATAAAGAAAGGAAAAGGGAGCAGAGAGGAGAGGGGCCCGGGAGGAACAGAGACCTGGAGCCTACTTCCTAGCTTCGGGATGCTGATGGGGGACTCCCTGGGAGGGGCTGGCCTTTCTTTGGATCCTCTTGGGCTTGTTGCTCAGACAGGTAGTTGGGGGAAAAGGAAAGAAGCTGTCAGCTGAGGCAGACGGCGGTTCAGCGGCGTCCAGCACCTGCCTTGCGCGATCGCGCCCCGACCTGGCTCAACCGCGCGGTGCAGGTGTCGTCTTCCCTGGTGCCCCTCCTGGGAAGGGGGACAAGTCGCTTCCGAAGGGACGGGCGGCGAGCGGGGGAGGGGTTCGGGGGGGGGCTGGGGGCGGGGCGGGGGGGCGGGTGCGCCCCTGAGAGCCAAGCCGGCCGGGTACCGACTGCCATCCTGCCGCAATTTCCCTGTGTCATGGCTCCGGTCTCTTAGCAACAGCCGCCAGTCCGGCCGCCGGGAGCAGCCGCCGCGGGCTCAACTCCACCCGGCGGAGCCCGGCGCGCTGCAGCCACACAAAAGAGGCGCAAGGCCGGGGAGCGCGCGGCCGCAGGGGCCGGCGGGGAGCGCGACGGGAGGGGACAGTGGCAGCCGAGGAGGCGCGCCCGAGGGAAGAAGGGCTCCAGGCGGCGCGCGGGCTGCGGAGGACCTGACACTTCTTGGAAACTCTTGGAAATGGCTCCCGCCACCGCGCCGGAGGGGACTGCGAGCCCCTGGCGCAGGTTCGTCCCCGCCGAGCTGTCCAGCCGCTATTGCTATTGCGCCCGGGGCCCCGGGGCGCTGTCCCTGCGCTCCGCCGTCGGCTGGGACTGAAAAGTTTCTCCATGGTTCTTTGTGTCTCCCGAGCTGCCCTGGTCTCCCTGGGTAAGTGAGCGATTATTGTTTGCTTAGAGTGCCTCCATTTTGAGCAATCCTGTCAATCCCCGGCCTCCGAGCGCCCTTCGTCAGCCCACCTGTCCCCGAGCCCAGGCCCCTTAGCGGATGTTCCGAGCCAGGTGTTCTCCTGGGCGTGCTACCAGGGCTGCGCTGCCCAGAAAAGGCGAGTTGGGGATTGCCTTCATTTCGCTCCAGCCGGTCCTCCCTCCAGAGGCGGACTTGCAGCTGCTGCACTCATGTGACTGACTAAAGTAAGGGCAAGAGACGCACGGCCCTGGGGGCCAGGGGCCGGGGGTCGAGGACCTAGGTTGGGTGAGGGGCACAGTATGGCGCGCAACCCTGGGGCCCAGAGTCTCTGACGCCGGGCTCGATCCATCACGAGTGGAGAACTTGAATCTCTCCCTTGGAAGCGGTTGTATTTTTAGACATCCCTCATTTGATTTCCCCATCCTCCATTCCTTAACCAAGGCAGGACTCGCGCCAGGCAGCCAGTTGGGAAGGCAGACGACATTCACTGCTAAGTTTGTTTTCCTTCGGTCTAAGGAAAGCCTCAAAGGGGGCTTTTCCGTGGCACCTGACCTTTGTCAGTATTCTGTGTCAGATCGTGGTACGCTGAAAAGGAGTTCAGCTGGAAGCATAATAAACTAGGGAACTAATTACTAGCTATTAAAAACTAATTTTAAATATCTTCTGTAAACCATTGTTGAAATTCACTCCAACTTTCCTTATATTCTGCGGGGTGTAAAGCTGGCTTGCAGAGGAGGAAGGTCCCTTCCTCCTCCAAGACATTCAGCACCGGGGGGCATCTGATCGGTGTCCAACAAAACGTCTGCCCATCTCTCTTCAGAGAGACACCCTGCAGGCCCGAGCTGGCTTTGTTTCTAAAATGCCTGGACCTTAATGTCTCTTGAAGCCAATCCAGACCTCAGGATTATTAAAGACACTGGAGCCTTACAGTTCAATTAAAACAGCAATATACATGTTGCAACCATATAATAAATATGGCAGTCTGGCATGTATATTCAGTGTTTATGCTTATTGGCACAGGACCTTTTAAAAAAATTTTTTAAAGGTTTACAGATACAGTCTCACCATTGACTCCCCCCCGGAAACCACTTAGCATTTCTCTATTGAATTCCAAAAAGTTCCAAAAAGGTACAGGTTTGCAAGCAGTATAAAAACCTGATTGCCATTTGCTTGCCCACGTGGAGAAAAAAATCCTACCCAGACTGACCTACTGAAAGAATCAAGGGCCAGAGGTATTCACCCAAGCACTAGTCAAAAGCAAAATTCTACCCAAGTAACTTACATTTTCAAAGGATAATTTATTCTACTCCGTGGACTGTCCTGAAAGAATCATATACCCAAAGGCCTGTGATGGCCATCTGTAACTTTAAGAGCCACATCATGCCCTTAATTTTAGCATCTCTGTTGCAGGAGGCAACACAACCAGTGGAACTGAGAATGCACTCTGAGGACCCAGCAGAACGGGACTTTTAACAGCTGACAGATAAGCACAAACAGGCATCAGTTCTTGTACCTGCTTAGACTGTATAGACAACCCAAAGAGCTTCCCAGAACTAGGCCACTGTTAACCACTCCTCTTCCTCAAAATGACCTCCAGAGAAAAGGATGAAGAGAACAGCTTTTATGTGTGGAAATACCTTCCTATAAATCATCATTATGTAGACTGCTTTGCCTAGGTAATTTGCCTATTCATTTGAACACTGGGGTTCTGTAGAATGTTGTTGGTACATTAATAAAGGGCTAGAAAGCTATTGTGGGAGGGTTCTCTGTTGTTGTTTTAATATGGTCATTTTCCCACATAAGAGAAAGGTATTTCTTATGGGGATTCCAGGGGACTTCTCAGATTCCCTGATGAAATCTAGCACAGGATACCTTTATAGGGAGTTCCTCCAGGGGAGGAGAGAACGCCAGAAGGAAGAGTGTGGTTACATAACAGTTACCTAAAAGGAAATATTCCACACCAAGAAGCTGTCCAGATGTTGCAGAGTGGCGATGAGAGGTCTGGGAGGGGGCTCTGGGTGCCTAATGCCCTAGGATCAGAGTAGCCAAGAGGCAACTTTATGGCAAGATTTGTTGTCGGGATTGAAGTAGTATTTCTGAGATTTTCTGGGTAATGAACCCGGGCAGTTATCTGAAGTAAGCCATCCTGCCAGGGCTTGCTGTTTCTCTCTCATCCTGGGAAATGAATTCCTTTCTTTTTATACAGTACTAACTTTCAGAACTGTTTAGTAACTTTGGGCCCACATGGGCAAATTCCTGACTCAGAGGCCTGACACTCCAGAGGCCCCTCCTTTGGGAAACTTTTCCATTGCAGTGAGAGGCAGGATGAAAACAAAACAAAACAAAACAAAACACCAAAAAACACCAAAAAAAAAAAAAAAAAAAAAAAAAACCAGGCGCTGACCAAGAAAGTCCTCAAACACTACTGTGAGCCCCCACATTCGCTGAGTTTATAAGGATGGAAGGAATTCCACTGGCTGCCAGCCAGGAGGCTTTCAGTATCAAGAGGGTCACTCACTCTTGGAGCATGTGGGGGAGAGGGGAGGTGAGAGCTTTCTCAAACTGTTTCAAGCCACCTTTCCCTTCTGTAACCCAGACCCATCTCTAGTCTGTGTGCACAGCACTTGGCCTGGATGGTGGGGGTGGGAGCACACCTGGATTTGGATCCAGGAGCAGGGGTAATCCTGGCACGTGGGATGTTGCTGCAGCCCAGCCCGCACTCTATGATTATGTTCCTCTGCTTTGCTGCAGGAGGAGGAGGTGACCAAGCAGTTAGAGGACAGTTGGCCCTCCCCCTAACTGTCGGCCCCAGCCCTTGGGGCTAGCCCTGAACTCCACCAGTTCGCCATGATCGCCACCGGTGGCCTACTGAGGATATCTGCCAGAAAGCAAGATCCCCTCCGCCCCACCAGCCAGGTCCCTAAGCGCAAGAGGAAAGCCAAGAAGAGGCGTAAAAACGACGTGGTTGTGGTGAAGGGCAAGCTGAAGCTGTGCTCCATCTCCGGGCTTATTGCCCTTTGCGGGATCCTAGTGCTGTTGGTGGGCATAGCCATGGCCGTGGTGGGCTACTGGCCAAAGGCCAACACGGCCAACAGAGGGGGCAGCAAGCAGCCATTGCCTGTGGGAGGCAGCCATCGCTTTGGGACCACTGGCAACAGCAGCCGTGGCAGCAAAAACCCGACCAAGAGTCACTCCGGGACCCCAGGGGGTGTCAACTCCACTTCTGTGGGAGGACCCAGGAGTTCGCCTCCGACTAGATCTGCAGCCACATCCTCTTCCTCTTCCTCTTCCTCCTCCACATCAGTGGGCTTCTTCTTCCGAATCGTCTCAGGCTACTTGCACTCAGACAAGCTCAAGGTCTTTGGGCCCCTCATCATGGGTATCGGCATCTTCCTCTTCATTTGCGCCAACGCGGTGCTCCATGAGAACAGGGACAAAAAGACCAAGATCATCAACCTGCGGGACCTCTACTCTACTGTCATCGACGTGCACAGCCTCCGCGCCAAAGATCTGGCAGCAGCAGCAGCTGCAGCTGCCGCCGCCGCGGCCTCCTCCGCCACCACCGCCCCCGGCTCTGCACCCGCCAGGGCAGCGCCGCTCAATGGCTTTCTGAGCTACGTGCAATCCCGGGGCCTGGAACTGAAGCCTGGTAGCTGCACCGGCTCTGCAGACGCCTTCGGGGCCACTGCAATGCTGGCCAGGGGCTCATGGCCCCACCCCGCCGGGCTAGGCGGAGGCGGCGGCGGGACTCGGGATGCAGGGTCGCCGCCGGACCTGGCTTCATCTCCGCGCTGTCCGCGGGAGCCCCCGAGCCTGGCCGAGGCGGTGTACAGCATCTACCGCGAGCGCTCCAGCGGGGCTGGCCGTCGCCGGACCACAGTTGCCGCGGTGGCTGCGGCCACGGCCACTGTCACCGCCGCCGCCAGTGGCAGCAGCAGCCCGGCGCTCTGCAGCCCGACCGGGAGTTGGGGGCGCCAGAGCACTGCCAGTTCCCTCGTGGGCTCCTCGCTGAGCGCCTTCGCGCTGCTGCCTTTGCAAGGGGACCGGGACAGAGACGGGGACTCGGAGGGAGCAAGTTGCAGCTGGCACAGGCCGCCGGGGGAACGCGGCTCTCGGGATCTCCCCAGGGAAGAACTGGACCTGAGCCTGACGGACCTCCGGGGAGCCGAGGGCGGGGCGCGCTGGGCGTCCAGTGAGCCGGACGAGCCCGTGGGCGCGGCGACAGCAAGCACCGCCAGGGGGCAGGGCGGCCGCCTGCCCAGGACAGGCAGGTACGCGGCCTGGCGGCGCCGCAGCACCAGCGGGCTCCTGGACTACCGGTCGCAACCGTCTCCGGAGCCTCCGCCCTCCCCTGGTGCAGCGGACCTGGACTCCAACCTTCCAGAGACAACCGCCACGCCCTCGGTCCCTCTGCGCCCCAAGGACTCGCCCCGTGTCCGGCGGGACTCCCACAGTTCCCAGTCCGATGAGCTGTCCTGCAGCAATAAGGGCTACACCCCCCTGAGGGAGGCTGACACCTCTGTGGAGTCGGTCGTGGACGTGGTGGCCAAGAAAAGGCTAGACTGCGCAGACGCCACGGATCCGGGTACGGAGCCTAGCTCCCCGGAGGGTCCCAGTCCAGAGACAACTAGGGCGGAGCAGCCTCAGTCTGGGCAGAGGCAGTTTACAAACAAGGAGAAACTCTTTCTGATTTCCAGGTCTCACACCCCAGGAACAGAGGACCCGGAACTGGAAAACTCTTCCACCTAGGGAGAGAGAGGAGGGCAGGGAAAGGAGAGACTAGTCCCACTGGAACCCCTACCTTAACCCTAACCCATTTCCCTGTGGACAGGTCCGAGGAAACCATTCAATATCCAAAGAGCTGCAGAATGTTATCCTTGAATTGCATTCACAAGATTCGTGTAGATAACTAAAGCAATTTTTTTTTAAAAAAAGCAGTCGTCTTTTTATGTCCGATGGTGATTGTACGTTCCATGAAAACCAAATGTATTAAAAGGTCATAATCTAGTTCATTAGATGAAATTCTCTTAATTTTCTTAGGCTCAAAATAATATATTTTTGACAGTAACTCTGCACTTTATTCCAATTTTTCTTTACCCCCCCCCCACCTTCCCTCACCCCTGTACTCTGCTGCTGACGTCGTTCATAGCTGCCTGTGGATGAATGACAAGCTTTTTACTTCCCTCTTCTTGAAGAGCCTAGAAGAGTCCGTGTCAGTTCTCTTAGAACTGATCTTTCTAGGTGAAGTCCAAGTCTAAAGCATGAGCATCGGAGAGAGAGGGTTCCCTTGCCTTACCCTGCTCTGCGCTCCAGCTGTCCAAAGGACTCTATTTTTAAAAAGGAGATTTTCATTTTGCTACCAGGGTGTGTGAAGACTGGAGGGTGCCAGCTACTAGACTGGACTGTTACGCCCCTAAACTCCCAATACCAAGTACACCATGCGTTACCCAGTATTACTACACCTGTATGGAAAGTAACATTAGTATTTAAAGTCTTTTTGTTTTTTTAATAAAAAAAAGTTTCCAAACAGTTAAACAATAACATTGCCTCATTTTGCCTGGGAACTAATGCACAGCAAACAGTTAACAATTTCTCTCGTCGATGCAAAATATTCGTCTGTTAAGACTGTAGTCACCTTCTACCAAAGTGACAGAGGGTCAGTAAGGGTGTGAGTGCATTAATCCATTGCCAGTGTTTTTACCTTGAAGACATAGAGTAGTATGTGGCCCTTGGGAGTAGAATGGAAGCTTGACTAAATACTATTTTTCTATAATACTTGCCGTTAACCTCAAGGTTAATTTACAGGGGTGCCAGCCTTAACAAGCCCCTCCCCACCCACTCCTGTTTCTCTCTTTGTTCTAGGTTCATGGTTTTGCATCTACAGCTGACATAAGCCACACAGTAATGTTACAATACTTCGGGAGTAGATCACAATTCATCAGTTAGCCAATTGTCAAGACCAGAAAACAAATGATTTACAGTTCTAATTAATCCCTCTTCCTCTGAGTGTGACCTGAGACTCATCGCAGAAGACCAAAACAATGCTTTTAAAGAAAAACCAGTGGCAGGTGTGCTGGCATTGCCCCGCACGAGTGACCAGGCATGCTGCAGGTGTGTGGATTCAGGAGCTCATGGTATCTACCAGCTGTGACGCTCTTAACACTGCAGACACAGGCCTCCACCATCAGCTCTGTAAGATAAGGTTAAAAGACCCATGCAGCTCTAAGGGGAACAACCGTGGGGCAGGGAGGAAGAGCAGGGATGGGAGTGCAGAGTCCAGTAGAATTCCAGAAGACATACTTAATTCAGCACAGGGGCTACTGTCTTCTTGGTACCACTGTGACGTATCTTCTGACAGCTGCAGCAGCAGCTCAGGCCTCGCCCCAGGCTGCTGCAATCTGGGGTAGTTATTCATTATCTGCAGAACCACAGGCAAATCACTTAATCCCTCTGGGCCTCTGGTGAATGATGTAATCTCTATGATCCCCTTCAGCTCTAAAAGCTTAACTTAAATTCAGAGTATTGGATTTATGCTGGATACAATCTTCTGTTTGTACATACAACTTAGCAAAGAGGGATATATTCCATAAACTTCCATGAGCAGAACTTTCTGTAATAAATTTTAAGTGGACCTAGTGTTCCCTCAGACTATGCGCATTAAGCTAATAACTCACTTTGAATCTCTGGATTAACTTGTTGAACTTTTCTATAAAGCAAAAGTGAGTTTCTGACAAGTAAGAGACACAAACAAACGCAATAAAGGCCCTGGTAACATTGTATTTCCATTCTGCCCTCAGAGAGTGTGTTACTGAAAAGTTAAAATGGGCCCCGATATTCTTCAGCACTGTTTCCAGTCCTCAGAAAATGCAACATGATGATATTTAACAAACTGTTACTCTCTCATAGCCTAACTAAAGGGGGATGGATAGAATCAATTTTTTTCCCCTTGCAGCCCACAAAATTCAGCCTAAACAACTGATTTGTGTTTATTATTGATATTGATCAGAGTAAATAAGCCCTTCAGTTTCTGTTGCCTCAGTGTCCCCTTCTATACATAGGAATAGAAACAGGACCCATGTCAAGGGATGGAGTACTAACGAAATAATTTAATCTACATATAAAGTGCTTGAAACAGGCTTGGCAGATAGACAGTGCTATAAACGTTTCAGTAGTTTTATTTCTAACAGCATCAACTGCTAAGTAGACTTATTTCATATGGGCTTCTTTTTTTATTCACAGAATAATTTTAGGTTTGAAAATCCAACGTGTAAATCAGTGGAGCACAGTGGCTGGAAGTGTGACTTCCAGGGCTTACGTAATACTGCCTGGGTTTCTGAGTCCGTTAAATAGCAATAATAATAGCATTTGACTCATAGGATTAATTATTCAAGTGAGGGCTAAATACACTAATATGCTTAAAGGACTTAGAACAATTCTTGGCACACACAAAAATTCAGTAAATGTTAAGCACTATTATATAAGCAAAATTCAGAAAAGTAATTAGTAGTCTAAATTTATCACCCAGTTGTTAGGGACAACGACAGATTTATTGTATAGAAAAGTCTTAATAACTTAGGTATATTAGAGAAAATAGATCTTCAGAAGTAAAGCCTTGAACGGGGAGGTAGACTTCCTGTGGCACGGGACCATGATGTTATGTAACAGTGGATGAGTGCCCAAAACCCATCAGTGCATTTGGTCACCATTGGTCCCTTTTTGTGTCCTGAAGCTGAGCACATCGGAAGGCCAGGGAGTTCCTGAGGTCACAGTCCCTGTCTGTCAGAAAGACCCAGGGTCGAGATCAAGTGCACACTGCACACAAACCTGCTCTCTTCTCACTTTTCAGTCATGGTGGGCTTCTCAAAAGGATGGACATTTGAATTTTTTGAGCTGAAGGAGTTAAAGCAAAAAAAATCTTCTTACCATATCAATGCAAGCTAAGCAAATGAGCGTGTATCGTGTTATATGTAGTATTATATAGTATTTTGCCAAGACACAAAGCTTACTTCCCTTTAACTTATAAATAAGATCTTGTATTAATGATTGTAGCATAAGGTGGATATTTTCCTTATTAATAGCAAATAAAATGTAAGCATAATAGTCACTGGTTTTGTTTTATATAGAAGAGGGTAATTGTAAGATATTTTTGGAGGTGCTAAAATCGAGAATTAAAAATTTGAAGTTACGCTAAGTTTCAAATGACTATAGCTTTGAATGTGTTCTGAGACTTCTTTTTGAGAGACTCTTCTCTGAGGGATTTTTTTTTTAAATCTTCAAAATGAAATGAATTTCTTTAAAGACTAAGTCTCCACAAATTGGACAGTCAGTCCAAATTCAGTCCAACATCTTCCTGCTACTCTCCAAAGGACAAAACCCAGATGAAACTCATATTTACTGTGTGCCACCTCGTCACTATGATATCAGAAAAACCACAGGGCTAGTGTTGAATTCAGCCAGGGCTGAAGCATTCCAGGAGTTACCAAGGCCTACCCGGTAGCACCAGGTTTGAACCATCCCAGGAATTATCACTGCTTACCATCCAGGTGATCTAGTTGCTTCCCCAGAGCCAGGGGCCTTTTAAAGCATCTACCGTCTGAAAACACATTGTTATTCAACATTAAGTGGACACTCATCCTGACCCCTTCACTAATGCCAGCTATGCTATGGCTTTTTGTGATAATTGGGACATTGACATACTCAATGCTGAGATAATGCATAGCCTTATTGATCAGGTGTGTTACTTTGTGATACACGGAGCATCACAAAGCCTGTACCTGTCTGTAGCTATGCTTCCAATCCCCACAATGTGAGTCGTAGTGAGGTCAGGAAGCTTAGCTGCCAGTAGTAACAAGGGAAGCAGCCAGTTGCCAGACCCACGTGTGTAGCAGGAAGAGGATCTTGGAGAAAGACAGAAAAGATGAAGTTAGGCGAGCATCTCCAGAAATGATTTCATCTCAAAAAGGAGCACTTGGTTACCTGGCTTTATGGATTGGCTTGTGTTGTATGCAGAGACAAGTCTTCAAATGAAGAAATGGAGCATTTCTATTCCTTAGAAAACATCCTTTCAGAAAATGCATAACTGGACATATGTGTATGTCTCTCAATGTGTAAGAAATTCAACATAACATGTTATTGACATCAACCCATTTGATACTAGTAAGTACTAGACATCTAATAATGTCCAATAGTTGAAACGGAGATGTTGTTTTGAGGTTGACAAACTCAAGCATCTATCTTTTAACTAACTCAACTTTCAGTGGAAGAAAACCCCATGGAAGAAAACCCCAAGTTATTATTTATCAGCACATTCAGTCAATGGAAACAAACAAGGCCAAAACCCTACTTTGTTTCTTTCCCAGCCTTGTATCTTTTTTTGCTTTGTGAGTGTGAGTGTCTGGCATTCCAGCGTGTAGAGATACAATCTTAACAGAAAAGCTAATAACCTGTCAGAACAGGCAGAGCTGCAGTCTTTAGGGTTAAACAGACATAGTGTTTTCAGCCCTGCTTAAATTGATACTGAATTGCTATTTGGGAGCTTGGTAGTTACTATGCTATGCTCAGAGGATAGGTATGGATAAATTACTAGCTCCCACCATAGGACCTTATAGGGATATTTTTGAGACAGGCACATAACTAGTGTTTTCAACATAATGTAAGTAAACCTTTCAAGACAGTTATGAGGGCCTTCTAGCTGGGGCCTAGTTGATGTAGAGAGATCATATAGGTACAAAAATATGGAGAAGAAAATGTCAGTCAGGGACCAATATAAGAATTGGCAGGAGGCAAAGAACACTATACGAGATTATGATAAGGCCTGCTTAGATTTACCTTTTCCTCAGTTTCTCTACAAGAAAGACACAGTGGTGTGTTAACTTTAGAAAAACCCAAACACTTTTGCAGCTGTATTTGTAGATGTCTATAAGTAGATATCTCATTCGTAAGGAGCATAAATATATTTGAAACTTGGATTAAAGTGACCGAACTTTAAAGCACTCCAAGTGCACATTCCTCACCATTAGGTATGTAATGATTCCATTTATAATAGATTCTATTAAGGGGGCTGAGAAGCATCGATTCACCAAACTCCAAGAAACCACATCCTTAAGCTAGCTTTATGAACAAGAAGTATTTTGCTGAGTTACATGTTGACTTTTTGGTTGAGTTACATGTTGACTGAAAAATTACACTGAATTTAAAAATTAAAATTTCGAAATCATTTTTTCTCAATACATGTATAATGTGGTAAAAACTGGGAAAGGGTTTGTCACTTGCCACAGTTGGTGGCATTCCAGCATGCTGGGAAGTACTAAGCTTTCTCAAGTGCTGTGAGTCAGCGTCAAGACTGGAGACAGCATTCAACTGGGGATGGCTTGTCAGGCTACAGAATCTAGGCGTGCTAACTGATGTATTTCTACAGATTTCTGCATCAATTTGCAACCTCGTTCACGTCAGAGAAAAAGACAACTTTTGTTAATAGCAAACTACATTGCTAATTCCCCTCACACGTGTATTCTCAGCAAAATGAACATTTATTTATAACCCAAGGCCACCTTCTGCAAATGAAACCTCTTTGTGGACCAGCAGAAGACTACACCTTTTGATCTCTAAAGAGCTAGTAATTTGGGGATAGCCATTGAAAACAGATTTGGCCAGAACAATGCAGTAAAAGCACAGCTCAATACTTTGTTTACCTGAAAGCTGCAAGAAGACTTACAAGCCAAAAATTATTTTCAACACAAATGTAGCTAATGTAAGAAAAAGTTGTCAGTTTGCTTGTATGCATTCTCCACATAATTACTTGGTTCTTTGCAATTTTTTTAGTGCATAAACAGTCAAGCAAAAATATAAACTATGTTTATTTTTTTTCTACTCTGTGAATGTGAACATTGTGAAAGCACTCCTCGTTTCAGATAAAATTCAATAGATATTATCCACTGAACCTCTCCTGTCAGAGTCACTAATAATGTTTTTTGTAGGGTATTGGTCATTGTTGGGTATAGGTATTGGTCAGAGGTTTAAAACTGGGAAATACTGTAGATGAAGGGCCGAAATCAGTAATGGCATCATAAATGATGTCAGTTAACTAACAGAGTCCCTGTGAGGAGCGAGAACACTGGAGGAACGGATGACTAAATGCTAATCCCTCTACTTATGTAACCGCACAGCTCCAAGTGTTGGGAGCACTAAATATGACTTGAGTGTGTTTATTGAACTGAGCTGTTCCTTCCATTTATATTCTTAATTTCATTTCAGCTTCACGCTTGAGAACAGTTCTTGATTTGTGAGATGTGTCCAGAATGACTTTTTTAGAAAAAAAAAAGAAAGTATTATATTAATAATAATAAGCTAAAAGAGACCAAAGAGTAATTTGGGAAAGTTGGTAATAATATGGTAATTTTTTTCTCCTCAGTTTTTATATATCCTCATAGAGAGAATAAATTGACTACTTCTTGTCTGTGGTGAAGACTCAAAACATAGTCAGAGTTCATGGCCTCCTTCTTCCACTCCTCTTCCCCATGGGTGTGGACATGAGCCACTTTTTCTGTCTATACTGTATCTTCTGACCAAGTCAGAGGTATGGAGATAAATGCTCTCCACTGCCTGGAACAAAAGCCAACCTTGATTAAGTCAGTGACAATTCAACCTAACACTTTAACAAATAAAGTGAATAGAGCATCAGGCTAGCCTGTAAGAATGAATCATCAAATTATAGTAAAAAATAATAATAACCTGAAATGGTATAAATGGGAAAAGAACTTACTTCAGGTATGATTAGAGCCATGAGTAAAAACAACACCAGTTGATGTGAGGCAACTTTTAAGCCCTAGCATAATTTTAGAAAATTGTTGAGTGGTTGTGTATAAATAAGACATGCCTCAAAAATGTTAATTAAACTGGTTTACATAATGGGTTGAGATGTATGATTGACTTAACCATCCTCCCACAGCCATTTGGAAAGAAATTGTAAATTCTAGTTATGAGGGGCTAGATTGCATGATAAACTCAGGGGTGGAGGGTTGAACAAGCAGCCTTTTCCAGCCACCAAAAACGAGGAGACCTGGGAAGTGTCTCTGGGCCGCCTCACTCATCATTTCCACCAGTTAGAAAACCCAACCAAGCTCAGCAGCAATAAAGATTTCTAGTCTCAACGGCTTCTCCTTGGCCCAACATCTTTCAGCCCATAAATCCATAAACAAAAGACAACAATACAATTTGGAGTTGGATCTCCAAGGGAGTAATCCAGCACTGTGTCTTTTAATTTGTACCCACGTCTTGCCATCTTGAAAACTGCTAAAGGAGAAAATGGCTGAGATGTGCCAGAGCATGTATTACAATCTAGAATGCTGAACACTGATGAGTGTCCGGTACTGATTTTTAGGCTTTGGCCTACAATTGTAGACTTCAGAATCAAGCTACCCAAAGCACCGGTGGAAACACCCATAGGATTTCCAGTTGCAAGTGTCATGGTTGGGAGGTCCTGTTCACCTGTGCATGCTGTGTGTGGCAGTAATTGGGCCACCGGAATGTGAATAATGTGAGTTCTGCAAAAGAAAGATACTTTAGAAACAAAATCATACAGCGTAGTGATAAAAGCCTGGCTTCAAGCAGTTAATAGGATTGGCGGGGTTGATGTGCCATAGCTAGCAACCTGAAGGCAATCAGTAAATCCCAAAACACAAAACTGCCTCCTCTAGTCACAGTCCAGGCTTGGGAATGCACTTGACTTCACATGTTCTGCCGAAACACACACAGGAGGTTTGGCGACAAATTCAATAGTCAGTTCCTATATTGCACTTCGTTTTCATATCAGATGGCTTATATTTTCATTACACCTATTTACAGTCAATATTATGGTCATAAATGAAAACCCATGTGTTTCAGGGGGAAAAAGTCCTGGAGGTGAGGGCACTAAATAAATGTCAAAGTCATATGCCCTGGAACTAATTTCAATTACATTTGCATAATTAAATTTAAATAAAATAGGAGTAACTCATTATGAAATTAAGGTCTTCAATTGGAATATACAGGCTCCCTCCTTTAATCAGAAAATTCAGAGATGGTCAAAATGATTTCCAAGGGGGTTGGATTTGTTCTGATGATGACTGACTCTTGTTTGTTTTTCGTGACAAGGTCTCACTTTCAGGATGAAGCCCAGGTTAGCCCCAAAAAGCAACCTGCCCCAGCTTCTCGAGTACTGGGACTACAGATATGATCCACCATGTTCAGATATGATTCTCCACCAAGCTGGGGGTATTCCTAAGGGAGGATTGGCCACAGTGTGTGAAGATCTCTCCTCAGAGCGGAACCAGATGTTCACACACCTGGAATGAACTAGATGTCTCCTGGCTTGGTCTTCAGCGAGCTAGTCCCTGTGTTCCTCTGTGACAGCCAAAGCAAGTATAACCCTGCCCACAAAAATCTGAAGTTAGCTACAGCCACACAGGCTGCACCATGCTGAATTATCAGTAAAATGTATCTTTAGTTTTTACTCCCATTCTGCTTTTCTTTAGCCACAGTAAAGGATTTAAGACAAAGTCTGTTGGCATGAAAGCATTGGCAATTTCACCACTGTCAAAGAACAAATAGGTAAATTTAGATGAAAAACCACCTAGCTTGCTTGATCTTCACAGAGCGTCTACACTGATCACTGTCCGATCTTCTTCATTGTGTATTGGGATATAAAGGTCTCAGGAAGCTTCAAAAGCATATTAAATTGAGGGGGTATTTAAATTAAACCCATACCTCATTTTCAGGCTGAATTCTTTAAAATTGCTTTCTTATGCTTTTATCTGTAAGTGACTCATATATATTCAGCTGTTTTATTTTTGATGTTTAGTGTTTGTTCAAAATTTTAGATTTCCCTGCCTCTCTCTCCCCCTACTGGTGACTAGGTATAAGCACAGCTTATTTTGAAAACATGTTTCAATGTGTTGTAAGCCACCCACCCCCCCAACCCCCCCAACTCCCCCCCCCCCCGGTTTTTTCTGCCCAAATGAGACTTAAATAATAAAGTGTGCTTCCTATGCCCGCTATTCCTAGCAACAGAAAAATGCTTTCTGAATTTGTTGTACAGCTATGCTCCCATCCTGGGAATGTGGACAGATGTTCACAGGGTCATGCTTACCTAGCTTTCTTTTACATCTCCAGACCACTTGCCTAGGGATGGTGCCACCCACAGTGGGCTGGACGCTTCTGCATCAATTAACAATCAAGACAGTCCCTCCACGGCCATGCAGTATCTGCACAGGCCAATCTGATTTGCGCAGTTCCTCAATGGAAACTGCTTTTCTCAGATGACTCTAAGCTGTGTCATACTGACACTTTAAAGCTAACGAGGACAGGAGCTCGAGAAAACACTACGAATTATGAGACGAGGAGTTTCACAATACAATGGGACCTTGAACGGTTGTGAGAGTCACTGTGAAAGAGAAGGTCCAGGAAGGAAGCCATTTGGCGTCTGAGAGACGGCATCCTTTTCATGAGACGTGAAGCCAGTACAGACCTCACCATGAGAGAGCCAACTGAAGCCTCGGGTGCGAAGGAGGATGCGGTCTGTACAGCTCTCATCTCCACAGGTCAGCCCTGAGTGTACGGTGGAAAGCCTCGGGCCGCTGTTGGCTCATGTCAGAAAAATGGCAGCTGTGGGGATGAGGAGGTCGAAGGAAAGCCGGTCCCTCCGCATCTCAGTATCTGAGGAACCTCATCTCACCCAGTGACCTCCCCAACTTTGCTTTTCCTTCCTGCAAGTTGTTTCTATGGCCAACTCTAACTCAGAATCTTCCACATCGATACCTTCTGAGAAAGTAAGTCCAGCTTAACCAAAGTGACATAATTTGAAAGCAGACAAACAAATCAGAGTCCATCTGTTGTCAACTTATCACCAACATACACCTCTCTAACCATATTTAATGTTCACAGGAAGGCAGAACAGCATCATGTTCAACAGGACAGAGAGCTCTCACACACAGAGCGAGGTAATACTGTGCAAAGAGGAAACACAGGTATATTCTTGACTGATGTTCATTCTTTCCGTAGCCGGGTCCCATTCAATTCTCTGCTAGAAGAGGAGGAAAAACAAAGAAAGAGAAGATTCCATATTCCTTATTCCCTTCACCTTAGCAGGTACATGGCCTGGTTGTGATAATTTTTCTCTTTGGGAACTTATGCCTTGCTCTCAAAAGGTATATACCAGGAGCCATCTTGCTCATATCTACTTTTTCATTACAGAGCTTGGAAATTACCCTCAAAATTACCCTCACTGTGTAGTAGCCAAATGATTCCTGGAGCAGTGAGAATTGACCAGGTCTGTGGTAGCTTCATTCTGCCTGAATGGTCAATCCACAAGGTCAACAGTGATCTCTACTTCCATACAGGCACTGTGTGCCTGGGTAGGAACATGTTAGCACTGTCATTTGAAGGCAAATTGCTTTTGACTAAAGGTTTAAAAAACACATATTAGTCCACAGATTGTTTAGGTATATAAGCACCCAGGAGGCCTCAGAACCCCCAAACTATGACTAGAGAAGTTTACACTAGTAAGTCATTAGGGAAAACAGTAAGAGGAGTCATGTACATTTATACCCCTTGACTATTGAATACCAGTGCTGACCCTGGGATAAAGATCAACATACACTCGCTGGCAATTCTGAGAATGTACCATTTCTAGAGCACACTGCTTTGAGAGGTCTAAATGTCCCATTTTACAGCTAGATCTAGGATTTAGTTTTTTAAGAGCAAACAATTTTTTTATCCAGCAAAGGACCATTAGTCAACACCATCCCTGACAGCAGAGATGAGGAGAGAAACATATAGGAGACCTGAGTCAGACCCCACGGTATCATAAGACAGTAACCAAAAAAGGACAGTTCCTGTAACCCCCTGAAACAGGCCTGGACTTGCCCCAGTATGACCAAAGATGGAAAAACTAAAACCTCAGCCAATCAAAAATATACTAATGTAACTGCTGCTTCTTTAACCAATCATGTTTGAGATGACTTAACTATTCCTAAAATTCCCCTAGCCATGCTGAAAAGGACCTGTGTGCCTTTGTCCTGGGTGGTTGCCATTTTGTGCACGTGAATGGCCCTGCATATTCTGGAAAATAAATGCTCTTTGCTCTTGCATACTATTTGAATCTGGGGTCTTCCTTCAGCATTTTCTTAGACCCATGCAGCTTCAGCTTGCAACATATGGCCATACAGCTACAGTTACGGTTGTCACAAAAGGTCCATCCCACAGTTCTATCAGGCTGGCTGTTCAGATGACAGAAACTGGCAAATTTTATAAACATGAGCCCACTGGAAAACTACACTGGTTGAAAGTTATTTCTATTGGTAGGATTGAAATTATATGGAATTATATGATGTTGAAAATGCATTCTGAAGTCCCCAGGGGGTGGTTTTGTTCCAGACAATGAAAACAAATCTGCAAACCAGAGTAAAAGCAGAGCCTGCCCCACCCATGATGGAAGCCATCCAATGTCACCATGGACTGCAGGTTCGTACCATTCATGGGCCATTGGGAAAGGGCTGTGGCTGTGGACAAGGAATGACTGAAATTTATAAACTGAGTCATCCTTGCTCACATGGAAATAAAATTGTTCTTCTGGGGCTGTTCCTTGATAAGACTTAATATGACACACAAACATTTTTACACTCTGTGCTCACTCCAGTGGGGGGCCGTCCCCAAACCTCTTTCTCTCTCAAGATATTGTCACCAGTTTGCAAGAGTTTTAATTCCCCATGCCTGGCTTACACTGAATAAACACAATGCTACAATGATGGGCAGCTCTCATGTCAGGCAAAGAGAACAATTACTGCACTGTTTGAAGTCCTGCCGTGCTGAATGAACAGCATCCCTCAGTTCATCTCGGAGTCAGGAGATCTTCTGTCTCCCTAGCTTTTGAGTGGTACCGGTGTGTTGTTCAGAAGGAGGTCAGAGTTTTTCTCAGTCATTAACTTGGTCATAGGAACCTTATGTAGGTGTGACAGTGTACGCCGTCACTGTCAACTGAAAGCAAATAGCTTTCGACTACAAGTCCCAGGAAAACAGTATTTGTCCATGGCTGCCAAGGGGTGCGTTGGCTAGAACCAACCTTTTCTTTTGTTAATATATATGTAGTGGTGTTGCATTTTCTGGTAGTAATTATAAAGTGAGAAGAAGTCTGTATTTTTCCCAGAATAGTCTGGGAGGCAGTGGCAAGAACTTTTCATTGTTACCAATAATAATACACCAAATCAAAGAATAGTTTAAAACCACTGATTTAAAAACTCTCCTTTAGTATTTTTAAAACATAAAAGCATTTAGATAATCTATAAGCAAGAAGGAATTGTACATTAAGAATTACATAGTAGCCAGGTATGGTAAAATAGGCCTATGCTCTCTGATACTTCAGAGGCTGAAGATGGCAAGTTCAAGCCAACACAGGAAACTTAGCAAGACCCTACCATGAAATAAGAATATAAAATAAGCTGCGGATATAATTCAATGGCAAAACATTTGTTTAGCATTTGCCAGGCCTAAGTTTAGCCCTCAGAACTGAAAACAAAATTCACAATAAGGAAGTTGTGATTTGCTCTGGGACAGAAGTTGTAAATTATTAGATGAAATTATTTCCATGTATCTTGATGTATTTGACGACTCTCTTTTTTTTTGTGACATTGTTACACAGATAGAGAACAAATCCAGTTACAGAGAGGCTCTGCCTCACCTTGCACTTTGTCAGCTGAAGAGTACGAAACAGGAACAGAACGTAGAGCATCCCAGCATGAAGAGGCAGAACAGGTGGGGCTGGTGTAGAAGGACAGCAAGCAAGCAACTCCTTGTCTGACACCTCCCTGACTTTGTTCTGAGTTGATATATCCAGGGATTATTTTCTTTGATTTATTAACAAGACAGTTTATATATATATATATATATATATATATATATATATATATATATATATATATATATATATATATCCGCTCACATCAGCGTTACTGATCATAGTCAAAAGGTAGGTACCAAAGCGTCCAGAGATGGATGATGGATGAACAAAATGTGTACACCTATGATAGTATATAATTCAACCTTAAAGAAGGATGGGAGTGTGGTCTTGGCTACTTGGATGGACCTTTAGGATGTGCTAAGTGAAATTGACCAGTCACAAAAGGACAAGCACCGTGTGACTCTGTCTGTGATGTGATTAGACCAAGCACATTCACAAGGGCAGGGAATAGACTAGGGGTGAATGGCAGCTGGGGGAGATGGAATGAGAAATTTTAATATAATGGGTTCAGAATTTTAGCTGAGGTTGCTGAAAATGTTTTCGAGATGGAAGGGTGTGTGGGTTGAACAGTATAAATGTGCTTCATGTCACAGAACTGTTAATGCAATAAATTTTATGCTAGGCATGTTTCACCTCAGTTTTAAGAATAATCAAAAGCCTGCTAAGCACAGGGATCCTTGGAATGAATGAAGTCGGATGTACCCTATAAACACTTGAGCACTGAAGGGGGAGTCATGACTGAATAAGTAAAAATGAAGGCTGCCATTCTAGAGCCGTGGCCACTGGCCCCAGGTGAGCAGCTTAACATGGGTAACAAGGTGGAGGAATGTGTTTAATTCATTGGAGACTACCTACAGACCCTCAGAGAATAAAATGAGCAACAAATGTGATGTTGTGAATACTACTAGAGAGAGTTCCTAAAGTGTATGCCCTTATCAGCACCCTCAGCGGCAGGCTCAGGGACCACACTTGCCACAGCTGGTTTCTCAATCATAGATTATCAGTCTGGGGTGAACATGCAACACAAACTTCCCAGAGAGCATTCTCTCTGTCAAAAACTTAAAACGTGGGAAGGGGAGAGCCAGCACCCAGGAGTCTTCAATGGCAAGTCATGTGGTCAACTACAGTCTCCAAAGGGAAGGTCCCAAAGTCTTGTTACAGAAGTGTCAGAAACTCCACTTGTTTCTGGTTCCTATGGTGTAAGCCTGAGTTAGTCATTGTTGTTGGACAAAACAGGACTATTCCAGTTCCTCACCTCCTTGATTTGGCTCTACTCTGCTTTTGCTTGTTAGTGAAGGACCATTGATATCTATCATCTATCTATCTATGTATCTATGTATCTATGTATCTATGTATCTATGTATCTATGTATCTATCTATGTATCTATCTATCTATCTATCTATCTATCTATCTATATCTATATCTACATCTATATAACTGAAAAGCCTTAGACCAGTGATGGGGACACATAAACTCCCTGCTGTGTGATTAGAGGTAGCCCCTCTTCTTCACACTGCCCCTGATGTCCAGGGGAGGGAGAGAGAAGAAAGGTACAGACCATCACTCTTCTCAACACCTGGTTAACACAGCTTCTTGACAAATTGATTGTCTCTTTCTCATTGCAAAGACTCTCATAATTGACTGAGAATTTTCTAAAAAAAAAAAAGTACTTTGAAAGTTACAATCAATAGTCACTCAAATAGAAACTGATGTAATGAAGTTGTTACAAAGCACAGTGCTTTGAAAAGTCCCTTCAGCTTCACTGTAGTGGGATTTGACTCTTGTAAGCATTTCTTTGTCTTGAGGGCTCACTGTAAGTTCAATACTTCTAAGTGGAAGAACACATGTTCTACCTGCATTGAATTGTGATCATTAACTACAGACCACTGTAATAGATATACACATCCCTTTCCTTCAGGGATTTTCCTGGATATTCTTGTACATAGAGAAAAATCAAAGAGTTAATAATATGTAGATTCTGTAGCCAAGTCAGCCTTCTGTGTTTCAAGTTTTGTGTCTCTTGATGCCATAACAAGGTATATCCTTAGGGGCTGGAGTTCAAGTTGGTAGAGTACTACCTAATATGTACTAAGTACTAATATGTAAAGCCCTAGGTCTGGCCCCCAGCACCATGGTGTGTGGTGTATGCTATAATAGCTAAGGAATACAGTATAACACATATCTACTAGTTACATTATAGCAGGAATTACAAGTGATAGGAGAAGGTGTAAAGGCATACTGGAGAAGGTTCACTGGTCATGAGCTGGCCCCATAACATTATATATAAAGGAAAAGCACGACTCTGGAATTTGGGATCTGAAGGTTATTGTGATTATATCTCTAGCAATCCGTGGAGTCTATTTAATGAGCAAAGGAATCTATTTGGGGGTTAACTCACAAGACAGAATAAAGGAATTTGTTGCAGGATCTTGGAAAGGTGAGGCACAGTCCAATGCTGTTCTCTGGTGAGCTCTGCCCTGGTCCATTCCAGTGTTCAAAACCACGAGGTAGTGAAGAGAACATGTAGTGCACTCCAGGTCTTAAGGGTCCCCAGCAGCCACACCCCAGGGGCATGTACCTCAAGGTCATAGGCAGGTGTAACAGCTACAGCTATCTCACTAGGGGTGGTGCTTCAGGGCATGGCTCAAACAGCTCCCACTACAGAAGGGGTCCTGAAAAATCATTCCTTGAACTAAGAGACATTTTGTATTTGTTGATTACTAGCCATAAAAAGAATCTCTTATGAATTGGACTAGCTCAATTTTAAGACAACCATCTCCTTACTGGTTGTAGCTAGTTTCCCCAGGAGCTTCATTTGAAAAAAAAGATTCATCTCAGCAAGGTACCCACTGATGATCTTCTCCAACGTATCCACCTTAACTCGTTTACAATCAGCGTTTAAAGATGTCTACTCTATCTGCTTTGATGAGCAATGATGATCAGGCCTGGATTTAAAGAAATGAGCTCATTAATGATTTGTTTTCTTTTCTTCCAATCCCCTTCATTGTTGGTTCTAAAGCTACATGTAGCTGGTTGTTTATTTACTCTTTGACTCTTTGCTCTTTGGGGGCCCGCCACCCAGTTCCCAAATAAAAACATGGAGGCTTATTCTTTCTTATGAATGCCTGGCCCTAGCTTGGCTAATTTCTAGCCAGTTTTTCTTAACTTACATGATCCTGTCTACCTTTTGCCTCTGGACTTTTACCTTTCTCTATTTCTGTTTATCTTTTCTTTTCTTCTTATTCCGTGTCTGGCTGTGTAGCTGGGTGGCTGGCCCCCCCTCTTCTCACTCCTTGATCTCCTCCTCCGAGATTTCTCCTTCTGTTTATTCTCTGCTTGGCAGCCCTACCTGACCTTTTCCTCTGCCTCACTATTGGCTGTTTATCTCTTTATTAGGCCATCAGGTACTTTAGACAGGCAAAGTAGCACAGCTTCACAGGGTTAAACAAATGCAACATAAAAGAATGCAACACATCTTTGCATCATCAAATAAACATTTCACGGCACAAACAAATGTAACACATCTTAAGATGATATTCCACAACAGCTACAGGCCCTGGGTCAATGTTCCCCGGAGACTGTGTTAGAAAACTAGATCTCCAGTCCTATCCTATGAGCACTAACCAGACACCAGAGATGGGGCCAGCCCAGCAACCTGTGTTTTTAACAATCTCGACAAAACTTCCAAGCAACTCTGATACATGCTCAGATCTGAGAACAACTCAGACTCGGTCACTAGCCTTGGCTAGTCATCATTTAAATATGTGATGCTTGGGAGCCTGGAAGGCTCAGATAAGGAAATGTAGGTTGTGAAGGCATGGGAGGCTGCCTTAAGAAGAGCTCCACTTCAAGGTTCCTTGAACCCATTGGAGTGAATCATGCAAAACAGAGACTGCATAAATGGCAGGATGCTGAGGGACTCGAAGGTCATAGGGTCTTACAGATCAAGAAATGCTTTGTCAGAGCCCCGTGAGCGTCTCTCTTCCCGATGATCACCATCACCCTGAGCATGCAGACATAAAACAGCACATTCCCATTGTACTAGTCTGTTCAGCCTGACACTGAGAAGTACCACCACCTGGGTGGTAACAGAAATGTCTTTTCTCACTCTTCCAGAGGCCAGAAGACTAAGAGCAAAGAGCTATGCAAAGTGATTTTCCTGTGATCTCTCTGTGTCTTGAGGGCAGTTATCATTTCATGTGTCCTCACGAGGTCTGTGTGCTGCGTGACCACACCCAGATTTCTTTTTTGTGTAAAGATGCTGATAGATTAAGAGCCACTTCCAAGATCTCAACTTACCTTCATAACGCAGTTGCATCCCGAGAGACCGGGAGTTAGGACTTCAACATCCACATGCAGAATTCAGTGCCTTTGCACTGAGAGCAGTGAGTTCTTTCCAGAAAGCCTTCCGTGAGCCTTGCTGCCTTGACCTTGTGGCCACAGGGATCTTCCTCATCCATCTGACACACTGACACCACCTGAAAGCCAGGGAAAGAGAGCAAAAAGGTTGAGAACCCTGGTCCTTATTCTAAAGCAGGAGGATTAAGAAGATTCTGTTTACAGAAGTCTAGCAGTACTTACACAGGGACACAAAAAAATATCATGCAGAAAAGTTCTAGGAAATACATCAAAAAAGTGAATGGAACTTTAGACCATTTGTAGCTAAGTGAGTTACTTCTCTCTGAAATCTCGTTTTCATGATGCAGTACAGCTCTCATCCTGGTCACCTGTGCCTCTCATAAGAGTCAACATTGCCACCAATGACAAGAAGCACAAAAACTGAGCTCACCTACCATGACTCCCAGAACAGAACACAAATCCTTGTACCTGGCCACTTCTCATGTAGCAAGCATTCTGTGGTAACTGTTGCCCAGCGTTTCTTACCCAAAAGCACCGAGTTCTGCCTCTCCCTGTCTCTGTCTTATTACCTTTCCTGTGGATATTATAGTGTTGGGAGGTTAGTGTATTAGTTATGTTAATATCACCGTGACCAAATGCCTGATAGGAGCAACTGGAAAGAAAGGTTTGTTTGTTCCAGCTCATGGATTTAAGGAGCATTATTGCAGCATGGTCGGGAAGTCAGGATGCTAAACATTTGTGGTCTGCTTGCTTTATCTGGCCAGTGAATGGGAAGTAGAGAGCTCTGAAAGAAGCCATAGGAAGGTCCACTCCCCAGTGACCCATTTCTTTCAGCTAGCTCCTACTTCCTACAGGTTCCTCAATGTCCCCAAACAATACCACCATCTGGGCACCAAAGGACAAACTGTTTACTTTTTACATTCAATCCACAACTTAGTCTTGGTAAACCTTTGAAAACAGAGCCCATGACCAAGGATTTGTGTGTAGAGGGATCCTCACTCTGTGGAACAACTGTCTTCCTGGCTAAATATGGGTGCCTTGTGAAATATTCCTTCCCGGTGCAGGTGGAGGTGGGGAGAAGAAGCTCATACAATCTACCAGGCTCTGGAAGCTGAGGATGTTACAAGGCTCACAGGGCCCTTTCCCAAGGCTATGTAAGCAGTCACAGTTGCTGGAAGAGGAGCCTGGCAGGCCTGGCTGTGTGTGAGCCAGTGTATGCGGCTTTCACAATGCATGGATGGGCATTTTGGTGAGGCAGTCATTTTTGACTCACCACTGCTCCTGTACGCAGCCTAGTAAATTCGCTGCTTGTCTAAGGTAGACACTGGTAGAATTGTTCCTTTGGATGTTTTGGTGCCTATCTAAGGTGAACAAGCATTTGCACAAGCTTCCCCAGGAGAAATCTTGCAGCAAGAGACCTTGTGGTCAAAATGCTCTGTGCTGGTGTCTGTGGGCAGGCCTCATCTACCCAAACTTCAGCCATGTCCTTAGAAAGCAACTCAAGACTGAAGCCTCCACTTTACTGAAAGACAAGGACCCCAGCCTACCTGGACATCTTTAAGCATTAACTTCAATCAACATGTTTTTATTGATACGAGGTTCTCATGTTGTGCAAATATTTGAGAGTCATGTGACTTTTGAAAAGTGAATCCTAACCCTTTCAACATCAAATACACACACTAGAGATCTAATGTCGCTGATGTCAAGTGTCACTGAGGTAAATGACATGTGAGTACAAGATATAACCACCATGAAGGTAAAGAATGTTGTTCAGAATCCAAGTGTCCAGTTTGCTCTGGCCCATTAAATCCATATGATACTTCAAGCAAAGTTTTTAATGATGTATACAGAGCTTTTGAAAATCAAGGTATCGTAGCCTAATATTGAAGAATAGTCATCAAGTATCATACGGTCAGAATGACAAACTTAAACCAAGGGGCAGTTCTAGGTAGCAGAGATAACCCTGGGTAAATCAGGGATGCAGAGACAGGAAGAGCTGATGAGGGTGTGAAGAGGAAGGGAGAGAAAGCAAAGAAAAACCACTTTGCGGGGTTCAAAGAGAAGTTCTAACTTGCTGTAACTATTTCCATAACTGCTACATTTCCGCTGAGTTGTGATTATTTATAGACAGCCAGAAGTGTCATTTCAAGTGTAGGATCCAGTTAAATTCTGGCAGCGATTCATCAGAGCCGCAAAGGCAGTGTGGCTTTGTTATGTTAGCATTGCGCATGGTTCGTGAAACCTGAAACCAGATCCCAAAGCTTGTTTTTCTTTGCTCAATGAAAAATAAATATTTGAGCCCTTTATAAAGAAGGCCGTGAAAGGAAGATTCTAAACCTCAACAGTCTTTGTGATGGTGCTCATCAGGGTCCTCTGTGTGTGTGTCCAGCTCCTCAAGCAGGAAGTTCCATCCAGGTGTTATGTTCCTGCTTTGTTGAAAAAAAAAATGTGTTTTCTGTGGAATATGAATTTTCTCTCTGTTTCTCCTAGTTCAGTGATTTCTGGCAACATCAAAGAAGTGATACAACAAATGAGATGTTCTCTGAACATAAAGATGCTGGGTCCTTCAGTCTCTTTTAAGAAATAATGGTGTCAGCAACACCTCTCAGGCGAGATTATCATCACCACAAACAGCCCTAGCCAGCTGAAGAAGAGCGGGGCTGTTTCTGCACAGACAGAGACGGCAGTGTCAAACCAGAATGCAGCTGGCGTTTAAAAATGTTAAAATTCCCCTTTGTTCTGCCATCATTGCTGCGTCTCAGGTATTCAGGGGGAAAGGCACAGTGAAGAACAAGAAGAAGCCTGCAAATTAATCTACGCTGGTAAGGGATAACTGTTTAAAGAATAAAGGGTATTCATATGAAATGAGACCCCACACATGAGACCCACGAACCACATGACTTTGCAATGCCACTGGTGTGTGTAAACAAAAATGGACACATCAGATCTCAACTTGTGTCAGTGAGGTGGCTCCAATGGTAAAAGTGCCTGCCTCCAAGCCTGATGACTTGAGTTTGACCCTTGGGACTCCTCATCTGACGGAAGAAGAGAACTACCTCTCCCAAGTTATCCTTTGACCTCCACGTGTGGGCTGAAGCATGCCCCCAACAAACAAACAAACAAATAATAAATAACACAAATAAACAAGCCATACAATGCACAATGCCACCCTGCCCCCACTATCATGGTTTATTCCAGCTACATCCAGGTCAGTGAACGTAACTGTGAGAAACAAAGAGACCGCTGGATCCCCAACATTTCTGAGTGTGCACATTTAACTATAGTTTGCATACAGCTCACGGAGCCGTCTTGTGAATCCCTCCACACAAGTTGGTATGTGTGACTGTGTTATTCTAACCAGATGAGTGAGCCCAGAGGAGACATTCATTCATTCACTCGTGTTTGATTTACTTGAGTTTCGTCTGTAGTGGTGTGTGGTATACACATGTGCACAGAGGGCAGAGGTTAACAATAAGCGTCTTCTGCTATTACTCTCCACTTTCTCATTCTGTTCTTTTTGAGGCACTCTCTCCCTGACCCTGGAGGTCACCGATGGGCTAGACTTGCTGGAGTGTGAGCCCCAGAGATCCTGCCAACTCTTTGTGGCCCCAGGATTACAGACACATGGCCACACGTGGCTTTTCTGTGGCCACTGCAGATCTGAACTCAGATTCTTGTGCTTGAGCAGCAGGTCCTTTACCAACTGGGCTAGAGACACACCCCTCATTTCTTTCTCTTTTTTTGTAGCTTAGACTCCAAACTTATGACTGACCGCTCTGCTTCAGGGTCCCAAGTGCTGAAATTACAGGTGTGTCCCACCATACCCAGCTTAGGACGTGAATCTATAAAAGCAGGCTTGAATCAGTATGGTGCTAAAAAAGGAGGTAATAATTCCAAAAATTAGACATTAAAATATTAAATATAAAATATTTATAATTACATAGATTCTATATTGTATATAAATATATAATATAAATAAAAATTTTTGAAAAATAAACAAGCAAAATCAACACCAGTAGCAGGATTAGCAGTTCTCAATATGGAATAACTCATCCCGCAAGGAGTATGTGGCAAGTTCTGGAGACATGTATATTTATGGCACTAAATATATGAATATACGTGGTGTCTGTGTGTGTGTGTGTGTGTGTGTGTGTGTGTGTGTGTGTGTGTGTGTGTGTGCATGCCTCGTGTAGGTGTGCTGTCAAACATCCCACAATACCCCAGGCAGCCCTTCCATCCCCATCTAATAAGAATTCTTTGGCCCTCAATGTCAATTACTGTCCAAATGAACAAGTCTGTGTTCGATATACTTCTTGCTGCTTCCATCAACATATGGACTGGAGTTCCCCATCTCTGACCTGCCTTGTCTAATAGAATGTGAAAAGTTGAGTGAAAGTTGGGTTCAAATACCAGAGCTGAGGTCCCAGGAGGCCTCTCGGTTTCTGTCTTTGTTCTTTGAGATATTGCCCATGCCAGGAAAAAAGCACAGGGTGAAAATACTAAGTAGACAGAAGGACCCAGTTGTCCTGGGGATGTGTGGAGATCAGTACATGAGCCCCAGCCAGACCAAAGCACAGTGGCAGTTCTAAGTTCCTGAAATTTGGATGTGTTATTCCAGGCAGCAAAGGGTCATTTGGGTCAGGACAGAGCTTACCTTACTCAGGGTCCTCCAGGCACTGGTTCTCTGAGCATTTCTAACAAATGTTGGTAAATGACCAGTAAACACTGTATTCAAAGATGATGTTTCATCCTCTGCCTCCACTGACAAAATTGGACAACCAAATTCTGCAGGATTGCTGGGGAATTCACTCTTCACTGGTGAGAACCTCTGGCCACCACTGGGTCTTGCTTTTACTTCTTACTCTTTGTCTTGAACTAGTACCAAGTGGAGCACGCTGATGGGAGAAGAGGGTGATTAAACAGAAAATCACAGAAAATGCAGAATGGCAGCCCCTATCAACTAGTGTGTGGTTGCAGCCTCCTTCCTCCCACACATGGTTCCAGAAAGGGGTGGGAGCACTGTGATTTGATTCAAATGCATTTGGAAAATGAGAAGGATTACATAGCCCTGGACATCTGTGCTACCCACTATGACAGTGCTTTGCAGGAAGGTCTGCCTACCATATGACCGCTAGCCTTAGTGACATTTTTAGGATGTGTCCCATGCAATGTGAGAGACTTCAGGAAGGAGGAGGGCAGGCAGATGCATCATCTACAGTCTTGTCAAGGAGCTGCTTCCAGCCTTTGTGGCCTCCTGTGGTGGTTCATAGGTCAGTGTGGCAAGACTTGGAATCAACCAGGAGAGGACTAGGCACATCTGTGAGGGAGTTTCTAGATTGGGTCAACTGAGGTTGGAAGACACCCCAAATGTGGGTGGCTCCATTCTGTGGGGTGGGGTCTTGGACGGAGTAAACAGGAGAAGGTTTGCAGAGCACAGGAATTAATCTTAATCACTCACTGATTTCTGACTGTGGATGAGTGTGAAAAGTTATCACATGCTGTTGCCACCACAACTCCCTTGCCAAGAGGGACTATACCTTCAAAGTGTGAGATTCTCAGATGCTCTCCCCTTCCCTCCCTCCCTCCCTCTTTCTCCTTTCCTCTCTCCCTCTCTCCTTCCGTCCTTCCTTGCTTTTTTTAGGCATTTTCTTCACGACAAGAAAAGCAACACCTTTCCCCTTTCCATCTTGCCTGCTCCCTTCCTGTTTAGGCCGGCACTGGCTCCATGTTCTGCAGCCCAAGACATCAGGCTCAGATGACTCTACTCCCCCATCTTCAGATACTACTGACTATTTTGCACTCGTTGACGGGGGTGGGGGGTGGGGGTGGGGTGCTCAGAAATCTGGGGGGGGGGGGTGGTGTTGCTGATGCATGTCTTTTTGGACTCGAGACTGCCATGTGGACAAGGAAGCCTCTGCTGCTGAGACGTTATCACGTGATACTGTGAGTCAGGAGGCTCTGCTCCACCTGTGTTCCAGGACTCTGTCTTGGAGGCTGGGAGAAAGTAAGGGAATCGGGAAGGAAGCTCACTGCTCGCCAGTGGGAGAGGGGAAGACCAGGCAGAGGCTCCAGCTATTGGACTACTTCCCTGAGAGCAAATGAAAGCAAAGACACAGTCCCTCCCAGTCCTGCGTGGTCCCTGGAGTGCTCACTTTCAGCTCTCTAGCACATCAGGACTTCGCAACTGTGATTAGTCAGCTGAGGTTATTTTTTTTGATAAGAAAATGTTCTTATCTGGGATTCGGGAATCAGCAGCTTTTGACATACAAATATATGTTTGCTAGTTTGGTTTTCAGCAGGAAACTTTTTTATTAGGTCCTGTTGGCTTCTGGGGGGAAGCTTCTGCCGGCTTCAGGTCCTGGACAGCTCAGCATGGGGCGCACCAATAGCAACAGAAGAAACTCATAAGAGTCCTATGGTGCCCTCTGGTGTCAAGCAGGATACTGTACACTTCAGTTTCTAAGGAAAAACGTTATGTTCCAGCCAGGGAAGAAAATGCAGAAGTAAGAGATGCATAATTATTAATATTGACATCAGATATTTATTGATTATTAATATCATGAAATTGTTAATACTGACACATTGTGAACAAGCTTACAGAAAATTGTGGTAAACTTTGTGCTTTAAAAATTTAGAAACAGGCTATGTAATGGTCCCTTGTTAATCTTTTACTTAACAGGCCACAAATGCATTTTTATTTCAGTGGTCAGCTCTGGAACTGCTTGTACAACCCATGGCATTCCACATGCAATATTGGTTAAAAAAAAAGTAAAAGTAAAAGAAAATCTGACATTTGTTGAGCACTTGCTTTACTCTAGGAACTATGTTAAGTACTCAATATAGATAATCTCATTTTATATTCACCATGGCCCTGCAAAGTATTATGATTCCTACCTGATAGAAGGTATTGACATTAGCATTACAGGGGTTTCCATAAAAGTTGGAGGCATGATCAAACACAGACATTTTAATTTAATATGACCTGGTAGATTAAATTTATTGTTGCTACATTTATTTCTTTGGAGGACTCTAAACCACTCATCTCTCTTTCTCAAACACAACTGTGGGCACAAAATTTCATCCTTATTCTTTATCTAAGATCCTTGGATGGGTTCATGAATGAAATATTTATTTTAATGGTTTACCATTTATTACCAAGCTTTTCTCTAAAAATGTTTTATTATATTCTCAATATAAGACCACTGGGGCCATTGACTTGAGTATTCTCGTGGTTCAAGATGCATCAGCTTTGGTATTGGAGAGATGGCTGAGTGGTTAAGAGGACTCCGTGATCTTCCAGAGGCCTAGAGTGTGCTTCATGGCATCCACATCAGGCAGCTCACTACCGCCTGTAACTCCAGTTCCAAGGGATCCAACACCCTCTCTGGCTTCTTCAGGCACCCTCACACACATGAATAAAAAAGTAAAATTTAAAAATACATATCAGCTTTAATTTCTAATAGCAATGAAGATACACTAGAGTGTATATTTAATTCCTAGTAACAGATATACTGGAGTGTATATTTAATTTCTAATAACAATGAAGATATACTAGAATGCATTATCATAGAATGTAATAGTATTATATGAATGTTAATATGTGTATATGTGTATATATATATTTATATGCACATTAGTTTCTTTTCTTATTGCTATGGTAAAATACCCTGGCAAAAGGGACTTAGGGGAGAAAGCGTTTATTCTGGCTCACAGGTCAAAGTTCAGTCCATCACGATGAAGCAGTCGAGGCACAGGAGTTTGGAGCAGCTGATCATGTTGCATTCACAATGGGAAAACTGAGAGGGATGAACAGGGGCCCGTGTTCAACTCATTTTCCTTATTTTACAGTCTAGGATGCTCTGCCTGGAGAATGGCCTCACCTACAATTAAGATAAGTCTTCCAATATCAATTAACATAATCAAATTCATCTCCCACAGTCCATTTCAATTAATACTAACCATTGCTTCTGCAGATGGACAAGACACTTTCTCACACACACATATGCACACACACACACACACACACACACACACACACACACACTTACACACATACACTCATATACACACACTACACAGAGACTATGAAGTCAACCTTTAGTATATGTGGGCTTCACATTTATAGATTTTAGTAATCAAAAATATTTTGAAAGAACTTGCTTGTACTGACCAGGAATAATTCCTTCCTTAAACAATGCAGGAACCCTTTGAAAAGTAGTTACATTGTGTTAGATGTCATGTATAATCTAGAAGTGATTTAGGGTAGCTAGGAAAATTTATATAGGTATATATGTAAACATGGTACAATTTACAAAATGATTAAGTATCCTCAGATTTGGTAAACACAGCAGTACCTAGAACCAGTCCTCTACGGATAGCAAGATCCCCCCCCACATGTTATACTTATGTATGTATGTATATATGTATGTGTAATATCTTATTTAAATAAAGCCTTTTTAAGATTTAAGTAATTCTACAGAGTGTAAAGGACAAAATGCTAGAGAGATGAGGCAATGTAAGTCTGAGCACCCTTCCCTGCTGATGTCTCTCCACATCACCTTTCTTGTACTTCATTATTTTGGTCCACAGACTCCACATGGCCATAGAAGCTGCTCTCGACCGTTTCAGATCCATCGCTTACTTGTACCAAAGGAGGCGGAATGGAGCTGATAATCACAAAGATGAAAGATGCAATTAATGAAGCAGAAAACAGACATGAGTTGTAGAATCAATGCCAAAGGCTGGGTCTTTGAAAAGATGAATAAAACAGCTTAATTCAGAAAAGGTCATTCACAGGGAGACAGGAGACACATATTCAGATGAAAAGGAGACAAATATAGATGCCAGAAATTCAGTAGTTAAGAATGCCCTATGGATGTGATAAAGGCCATTAACTTGAAAATTTAAATGCAAGGAGATCCTTCTCTTACTTATTTACTTTATTCTTTAAATTTTTCATAGATGTATACAATGCATCTTAGTCATATCTGTCCCCTCACTCTCTACTCCCAACTCCTCATGGCTCAATACAGCACCTTCCAGCTCTGAGTCTTCCTTTTGTTTTTGTTTTTTTATAACCCATTGAGTCCAGTCTCTGCTGCTATAAATATGTGGCTGTGGGATTATCCACTGGCTCACAGGCAAACTGACAGTGGCCACCTGTTGTGGAATATTAATTTGGGATGTGTTGCATTCTTTTATGTTGCATTTGTTTAACTCTGTGAAGCTGTGTTACTTTGCCCGTCTAAAACTCCTGATTGGTCTAATAAAGAGCTGAACAGTCAATAGCAAGGCAGGAGAAAGGATAGGCAGGGCTGGCATGAAGAGAGAATAAATAGGAGGAGAAATCTGGGAAGAGAGATCTAGGAATAAGAAAAGGGGGAGGAGGGGAGGACATCAGGGACCAGCCACACAGCCACACAATAAGCCACAGAGTAAGAAGTAAAGAAAGGTATAAAGAAATGCAGAAAGGTAAAATCACATAGGCACAAGATAGATGGGATAATTTAAGAAAAGCTGGCAAGAAACAGGCCAAGCTAAGGCCAGACATTTAAATAAGCCTCTGTGTTTACTTATTTGGGAGCTGGGTGGCAGGCCCCCCAAAAGAGTAAAAAGCCAAAAGAGAAAAAAACAAAAACAGCCACTCTTCAAAGAACAGTGACTTTCCCTCCTGTAACAAACAAATCATAAGCTGCCAGTAACTCCTTAGCTCAGAGTGGGGCCTGAAATCCCCACTTGCCTCCATGCTAGAAGTTGTGACTGGTTTGCTCCTGTGCAGGTCACCACAGCTACTGTGAGTTCATGTGGGTGCATGCGTGTGTGTGTGTGTGTGTGTATGTGTGTGTGTGTGTGTGTGTGTGTGTGTGTGTGTGTGTGTGTGTGTGACATCAAGGTC